TTGGAAAAATGTCAAGACAGGCAAATCAGTCACTATCTTTATGGTTATAACGACTCATATACAGATCCATTCCCATTAAGACATTACGGAAAATTAAAAACTCGTAAGTCATAATGATACAAAACATTTCTACAGTGCAAGGATCGCGACATTTTTATAAATCAGAAAATATCGGATTTTCTGGGGAAATACTATTATTCAATTACCACTTACTTACAGTAGAAAGAATACAAAGAAATTTAAACTGCATTCCTATATGTTACTACTATGAAATTCACACATGCATTTATACTCGATTTTCACATCATTTTTCAGACATTTTACAGAAAATATCGGATTTTCTGGGTTTACAAAAGATACAAAGACTTTTATTCAAACATGCTTATGAACTCACCAACATTATATATGTTGACCGTTTTCAAAATAACTTGTATTCTCAGGTAATCGTTAAGCAGGAGGATTTTCAAGTGTGTATGGATTTATTTTGTGTAACATCACTCATCGTACTATTAACACTTTGGATGTATGCAACCTATGACAATGTACTTGATGTGAACAATACTAGCTGTAATATGTAATGTTTGGTGATGAATGTGTTATGTTTCATGTATATTCATTGTGATGATATTTCAATTTATAGTCACACGAGCCCTCGGATGTTTCCGTCGTCTGGTTCGGGGGTGTGATATATATATATATATATATATATATATAATATATATATATATATATATGTGTGTGTGTGTGTGTGTGTGTGTGTATGTATTATAATAATTATGGAATAAACAATATCAAAATGAAACGTAAGGATAGACAATTTACTTGACTGGACCATAACCTATCACACATATCAAAACAAAGATAATTATTATATATATAGGGCTAAGTATATACATGAATAATTAAGGAAAAGTATATTAACGGAAAAGCTAAAGAAATCATAACAAAGATAAATAATCATACTTAAAAGGTTAATAAAGTAACTGTTAAATGAGATGTATTATTCATCCATAGCGGATTGATATTCGGCTACCCCATACCTATAATCATTAATCTTAAGTGAGCGTTAAAGGAATGTATAGATCTATACATAATTGACACTCTCACATACGGTTGCTAGCTACAACCCCAACGTGCATAACTTTATAGTCTTTTTGACGACATCTGATGAAGCGTCGCGGTGGGAAAATTTCAAGTCATATAGCTCGATTACAGGGACTCATTGTAACATTACCCACCAACGTTTTTAAATTAAACTACCTAGAGGAGAATGCATAGGAGTAATTAAAGTATGAATTAATAAATTATTCTACCTAGAGGATAATGCCTAGGAGATAATTAAAAGTATGAAAAAACAAGCAAAGGAAACTTATTTGAATAAAAGAAAAAAGCTATAGGATAAGTACGGAAGAGATACCTATCCTAAAAAAGATAGGTTATAATGATATAAAGATATATATAACATAAAGATAAATACTTTCCAAAGTATTTTATCTATAAACTACTTGAAACTAATCAAGTGTATAAACCAAATTCCTACCTGATAAATGGAAGAAGCGAACAAATATTAAAGGAGAGTGTTATAAGTTATGTGAAAACAACTATTTACAAGGAGCGAATAGAAATAGAAGAATCTCGAAAGCCTATGTATTCAAGATTGCCATAAAAAAGAATGCTTTTAAAGGTTAAAAACCTGTTAACTCACCAACATTATGTTGATAACTTTCAAAATCCATGTATTCCTTGGAAATCGAAAAAAGAGAAGATCGATGCAAGCAAGGATGTAACGCCCGCAGATTCGGGCTATTCAATTTAGAGACAATAAGCGTCAAAAATGACGTTTTGATAGAATATTATTTAGAGTAAATAATCTTAACCAAGTTATAGTATATGTCGCAAGGGTTCCGTACATATAAAGAACGCCGAAATCCGAGTTATAACGAAGAAGTTATGACCCGTCGAAGTTTTACGGCAAAACCGACACGACAGGGAATCCTAAAAATTGAGTTTGTGATAAATACTCTTTAGCCTTTGAGGTCTAAATGAAATTCGTAGTATACGTTAAACCGAGAGCGTGCATAAAAAGAACGTCCAAATCTGACTTCATATGAAGAAGTTATGATTTTTCTAAGATTTCACATAGTAGTACACAACCTGGAATTCGAATTTTAGATCGATCGATTTTTAACCAACACAATCTAAACGAGAATCAAAGATCTCGTTAATAAGGGCTCGACGATAAAAAGACAAACGCAAACAAACGTCAGACGACAAAGTTATGAATTTTTAACGGACTTTACCTGTCCAGGCCTGTTAAAATATAACTTTAAAAATAAATTCAAAATTAGCCGACAGAGTCTAAACGAAAGTTGTAGAGTATGTCGCCACTTATCAGTCATCAGACAGATCCTCAAAACATCTCCCACCACACCTGTGTTACAATCTTCAAACTCTAATTTTCAGCAATCCACGATCAGCTCACGTGCAAAACAAAATAATCCTCTTCCAACTCATTTTCGCCCCGCTGATAAAAATCAGCATTCCATGGTGACTCGTGCTCGCACAAATTCTCTAAAACCCAAAGCCTTAGCAGCCACAACTTCCCCTTATCCAAATTTTGAACCACAAACTTTTTCACAAGCAAATAAGCACAAATGTTGGCAAAATGCGATGAAATCGGAATATGATTCTCTCATGAAAAATAACACTTGGTCACTTGTTACTTGTCCCACTAACACTAATGTTGTCGGTTGTAAGTGGATTTACATAATCAAAAGACGAGCAAATGGTTCTATAGAGCAACACAAGGCTCGATTGGTTGCCGAAGGGTTTAGTCAAGAAGCAGGAGTTGATTTTTTTGAAATCTTTAGTCCCGTTATCAAGCCCACTACAATTCGTTTGGTGTTATTTATTGCCCTCTCCCAAGGGTGGCGTATTCGGCAACTAGACATCAATAACAAGTTTCTAAACGGTGATTTAGCAGAAGTTGTCTATATGAAACAACCAAAGGGATTTGAGGATTCCATGAAACCACAACATGTTTGTCGTCTACATAAAGCTCTGTATGGGCTTAAACAAGCACCACGAGCTTGGTTTACCAAGCTAAAGCAATACTTAATCTCTAATGGATTTCATGCATGTCAATCTGATACTTCTTTATTTGTTCATTCTTCCTCTCCATCCACTATATATGTTCTTGTCTATGTAGATGATCTAATTGTGACAGGTACAAATGAAGTTCATCTACAACGGTTTATCACTAATCTGAATCGTGTCTTCTCACTAAAGGATCTTGGTGATTTTCATTTTTTCCCTTGGTCTCCAAATTCAAAGAAATGCAAATGGGCTAACTCTGTCACAACAGGCTTACATTCAGGACATTCTTGAAAGCAACAATATGTCCATGGCAACACCGATTACCACACCGTCTGATCCACAATCTCGTCTTCATCAAAATGGTGACCCGTTTGTTGATCCTACTCTTTACAGACAAGTGGTTGGTTCTCTACAATATGTTACTATTACAAGACCAGATATTGCCTACTCTATCAGCCGTGTTTGTCAGTTCATGCACTCACCAAAAAATCAACACTGGCAAGCTGTAAAACGAATTCTACGCTACATCAAAGGGACGATTACACATTGTTTACATTTCACACCAACAAATGCTAAGTCTCTTCATGCTTTCTCTGATGTTGGGTGGAATTCTGATCGCGATGATAGTCGCCCTCAATATGGTTTTGCTATCTTTCACGGGTTAAATCTCATAAGTTGGACTTCAAGAAAACAAAAGGTAGTGGCTAGATCCAGCACTGAAGCTGAATATCGCTCCTTGGCCTATACTACAACAGAATTAATGTGGATAAAACAGTTACTCAAAGATCTTCGAGCACAAATCAGCCACCCATCATTAGTTCTGTGTGACAATGTTGGAGCAATCTTTATGAGCAAAAATCATGTCATCAGTACACGGTCTAAGCATATAGCTCTAGACTTTCATTTCATTCGTGAGCAGGTAGATTCTCGTGAGCTAAAGATATGCTATGTGTCTTCTGTTGATCAAGTGCCCTTGAGCTTGCCGGAGGGTATTAGAGAATATTAAAAACGTGTAACATTGAATGAGTAAAAATAGTCAATAGTCCACATAGTCTTTCCATAGAAGTAGGAGTTTATATCTCATATTTTTGTTCTCTCTCTCTCTCTCTCTCTCTATATATATATATATATATATATATATATATATATATATATATATATATATATATATATATATATATATATATATACACACACACACACACACGTATTGTATATCTACTCTAATAAATGAAGGTTTTTTTGCCACATGTCACACTCTCACTCAATTTTTCAAATTTCATTTTGTGGTTATTTTGAATTAATTTATTTTCCACATGAGTTTTTCTATTTAATAAATTCCACATAATACTTTAATATAATAATTACAATAAATATAATAATAAATATATATCAATTTCATTAATGAATTTACTTTCTTATTTCAAAATTCTCAAATTAAAGCTCATTAATTTATTTTGTTTATTTATTTAAATTTAAAAGATAAAAAAAATCGGTTTTAATAGTTCGTTATTTTTCTTATTTTCTTAGAAATCCAAAGTTTTTAAATATTTAGACATTTATATTTAATTTTTTTAATTAACTCATACAATACATGAGTGTTACACCTAATTGAATATATATACAACAATTCATCATTATTTATATAAAAAAAAGCTACATCCTAAAACCTGTTTCAACATAGAGGTCAATGGGTCCCTACTCACCGGTCACTACCTCTTCCTTATATAAGTTTTCTAAGCGTCTATTTCAACTTTCAGCAATAAAAATATTTTACTATATTTTATTGGGACTCTTTTTTAAATCGATTTATTAAATTTTACTAAATTAGATCAACATTACAGCACGAATCTTAAACCCTAATTGGATCCGTAGTAACATAACAAACGAAAAACAAGGTAGCCATGGCCGCCATCACTCACCCACTTCACACTTCCACCGTCACTTTCAGAATCCCAACCCGTCCATCCTACAGGTTTACACCCACCCACAAACTCATCATCACAGCTTCTTCGACTTCAAACAAACCCATCTCCGGCAGAAGGCTAATCGCTGCGGTCATAGGCGGTGGCCCAGCAGGATCCTCAGCGGCAGAGGCGTTAGCTTCCGGCGGGGTAGAGACATACCTATTTGAGCGCAGCCCCTCCGGCGCCAAACCATGCGGCGGTGCGATTCCACTCTGTATGCTCGAGGAGTTTTCCATACCACCGGAGCTCGTCGACCGGAAAGTAACCCACATGAAAATCATTTCCCCATCCAACCTCACTGTCGACTTCGGTAAAACCCTCAAGTCCCACGAGTATATCTCCATGCTCCGTCGCGAAGTTCTTGATTCTTATCTCCGGTCAAGAGCTGAATCGAAAGGTGTCATCCTCCTTAAAGCGCTTGTAACGAAGCTTGACGTCCCCACCTCACCTAACCAACCTTACATCATCCATTACACAGTCAACAACCGAATCAAGTACCTCCCCGTCGACGTCATTGTCGGCGCCGACGGCGCCAACAGCCGCGTGGCAAAGTCTATTCACGCCGGAGACTACGCCTGCGCTATCGCCTACCAAGAGCGGATCAAACTCCCCGACGACAAAATGGAATACTACCAAAACCTCGCTGAGATGTACGTCGGAGACGACGTCTCACCGGACTTCTACGGATGGGTCTTCCCAAAATGCGATCACGTCGCCGTCGGCACCGGAACCGTCTGCTCAAAGCCAAACATTAAACGATACCAGCAAGGGATCCGATCAAGAGTCCTCCCAAAGATCGCCGGTGGGAAAGTAATCAAAGTGGAAGCCCATCCAATACCGGAACACCCTCGTCCAGTTCGAGTCCGTGGCAGGGTGGCTCTGGTAGGAGACGCCGCCGGGTATGTGACGAAATGCTCCGGCGAAGGAATCTACTTCGCAGCAAAGAGTGGAAGAATGTGTGGCGAAGCAATCGTGAAAGCTTCGGAGGGAGGGCATAGGATGATCGGAGAGAGTGATTTGAAAAGGGAGTATCTGAAACAATGGGATTCCAAGTATATAACAACTTTCAGATTCTTGGATTTGCTGCAACATGTGTTCTATGGGAACAATGCGGCAAGGGAGGCGTTGGTGGAGCTTTGTGGTGATGAATATGTTCAGAGAATGACATTTGAGAGCTATTTGTACAAGAAATTAGCGAATGGGAATAGATGGGAGGATTTAAAGATGGTTTCTGGTACGATTGGGAGTTTGATAAGGTGTAAGCTTGTTGGGAAAGAGATGGAGTCGTTTGATAAGAATGTTCTTGCAAAGTTCGTGTGATCAATTGTATCGAGTGTATTATGTAGCATAGGATTGTGTAAGATTTGATGAATGATATACAATTCCTCTGTTTCTATCTAATGTGAAATTTGTTCTTTTATTGTTAGTAATTATCTTCATGATATACACTTCTTGATATCCTTAATAAATTTCTAGGAGTTCCAAGGTCTACATATTAGTGGTTCTTAATGTGTAAAATGTAATTGAATTAACCTTATTCCGCCCACCAAAATCAAATGAAGTGAAAAAGCACGACTTTTAAGTTATATATGTATCTTTAGAAGCAAATTAAGTCAATTCTACCAAAACTTTGTAATGGTTACTAAAGGCATTTCAATCACGTGTAAACACTCCAAGAAAGATTAAGCTAAACAATATTACTAAGGGCATTACACACAAAGTTTATTTTCTACATATATTACTAAGTATGAAAAGGGGATACCAACGATTACATACAAAGTGTATTTTCTACATAGATTACTAAAAGAGAAAAAGATCATTTATGTGAATGGCTTCCATGCTTGCCTGTTTTTACATATTAACTACCCACATCAAATGGAAAATAGAACTAGTAAAAGACATAAAAACATGAATCAAAAATATTAGATAGATCATGTGCATAGCACATGTTTGGGGATTGCATGTTAATACTCCTCCTCAACACCAAATTCCACCATTGCCATTCTTTTACAGAATTCAAATAGTTTTGGATTTGCCAAACTTTTCGTCATGGAGTCAGCAACTTGTTATGTAGTTCTAACATACCTCAGATTTATGCTTCCTTCAAACACCTTCTCTCTAATGAAATGATAATGAACCTCAATGTGTTTGGTTCTTGAATGAAATGTAGGATTCTCCGCAAGCTGAATGGATGAAATGTTATCACAGAACAGTGGAATGTTGTAATTTATCTCTTGATTCAAGTCCCTCAACAATTGAACTAGCCAAACACATTCTTGAGTTGTCATTGTTGCAGATTGGTACTCCGCCTCTATTGTGGATACAGATATTGTGGGTTGACGTTTGTTGCACCAAGACACTACACTTTGTCCAAGCATAAATACAAAGCCCGTGGTTGACCTACGAGTATCTATATCCCCATCATAGTCTGCATCGCAAAATCCTGATAAAATGCAGTCTTCTGTTCTTCTGAAGCAAATACCATAGTTTAAGGTTCTTTTGACATACCTCAGAACCTTATGTACTGCTTCTAGATGTGGCTTCTTGGGCTCGTACATAAAACGACTTAGAATTCCAACAACAAAGGCGATATCAGGCCTTGTTAAGGTCAAATAAATGAGGCTACCAACAATCTTTCGATACATAGTTTTATCATCGAGTTCTTTGCCCACATTTGTACTCAACTTACGGTTTGCTTCCATGGGTGTTGCTGAAGGCTTTCTATTCAGCATACCAAACCTTTTTAATAGATCAAAGGACTACTTTCGCTGATGAAGGATCACTTCTTGGTTACCATACTTTAGCTCTAAACCTAGAAAATGATTCAGCCTGCCCACATCCTTCATGTGAAATCGAACATACAAGTTTTCTTTTAACTACTTGATCACCCCTTCAAGATCTCATGTAAGAATCAGGTCATTGATGTGCACAATTATACTTATAAGTCTTAAATTTATAACCTAACAAAATTTTACTAACTATGCACTTATAGGGGTGTACCTAGTCAGATTATAGAATAGATCAAGTAAGTCAGGTGTCGATCACAGGGAACAAAATTCAATTAAATAAATTAACTACTTATAATTAAAATAAGAAACAAACTATGATTGGGGTTTTTTTTACTGATTTTGCAAGATCAGAAGAACTTACTATCAACTAACAATTAAGCAAGCAAAGAAAACAAATTAACTTCAAGAATTAAAAGAAATACTTCTGCCTACATCCGATTTCACCTTCTTCTATAGTTAATTTCTAATGGGTGGATTATATTGATTACCAATTTGTTAGAAGCTATTATGATCAAATATCTAGGCCTAGCAATTTATGAATTACCAAGCAATGATCATGCACAAGTTAAACACCAAATCAATAATAAGCACAAATTGGATTATGAATGATAGTACTTACTTTTCTCTGGTCAAGTTAAGCAACTAAGCACAAATTGAGATTAATTATGCTCTTTAACACAGTTAAAGTTACTAACTTTAATTACTTAATCTAAAATGTGATTAACCCTAGCTCTAATTATTTAATGATCATAAACAATTAGCAGACAAATTCATGCAATTAATATGATCAATTAACACACATAATCTGATTTATAAGCAATATAAAGTTGAAATAAAATGTGCTAGGGTTTAAATATCAAACACAAGTAAAATCAATAATAATCATTCAATAATCGAAATCAACACATATGGATCAAGTTCATCTTCACCAAACAGAAGTAAAAGGTATTTAGCATCTCATTATTGCAGAAAAACACACAAAATCTATGTAAATTACGCTAGACATAAGTAATGATTAGCAAACCAACTAGATCAATGTGGAATTCTTCTAAATCTTCTTTAATCCTTGAGCTCCACTTGATTTTCGATCTTCTTCTGCATTTAGAAGGGTTTTCGGTCGTAATTCTCCTTAGAAAACCGATTGCATGGCTTCCCATTCGACCTAATGTTCGGGATTTTATAATTTCCAAAATCTGATCACCACGTCGTGGCTGACCGACACCACGACGTGGCCCTCGTCGAAATCTTGTATCCTCCAAGTCAGCTTTTCTGGTTACAAATCTTATTTTCACAACGTCATTTTGGAGATCACGACGACGTTGTCTTCAGTCTTCTTTTCTTCTTCTTTTATTTTAGCTCCCATTTCTTGCTTCCAGCTCTTCGTTTGCTTCCTTTTTGTCCCGAGAAAGTCTTCGCTGCTACAAAACATATTTTAAACATAATAAGTATCTTGTGTTCCCAAAATAAACATAATTGTAGCTAAAAGTATTAGAAATGTGCATTGAATATATAGTTAAATATGCACATATCATCATCCACATACGTGAGTACAACAACGATCTTGCTACCTTCCGTCTTCACAAAAAGACTTGTATCTGATATCGTTATCATATACCCATTGTGCTCAAGGAACTATGCAATTTTACCAATCCACGCTCTCAGTGACTGCTTAAGCCCATACCAAAGCCTCAATTTGAGTTCAGATACACCCGATTGTATGTCTGAATCCCTTAAACTAAGGCTCTAATACCAGCTTGTAACGTCCTAAAAAGTAGGACTAAAAATTTTGATTTTTAAATTAATAAAGCCATTATCCAAAACAACATCATAGAAACCATGGTGAATCAAAGTGTATCAATAAACATCCAAGTACATTAGAGTGATATAAAATGTGGAACAATGGGGTGTGTAGACTGCAATCATCCCGGGAACTTCCCCTTCGAACCAGAAGTACCTGAACCATAAACTGAAAAACTGTAAGCACAAGGCTTAGTGAGTTCCCAAAATACCACATACCATACATATCAAAAATATAATGGGCCCCACCCAGCATCGAGCCCCACTCGGAACAGATCTGTCAGTCATCTTGCCCAGCCTGGCATCGGGCCTCGCCCGATATACATACAAACATATAAACACATACATAAAAATCACAAAGATAAATAGCATACAATATAATCATCAGGCCCCGCCCTGTAAACATATAAACACATAACACATGAAAGAGTCATGAAGACAACTAGCATCCTACACATAATAACCCATGGGTCGGCATTGGTGTCTTCGACCCACTAAACATAGTGAGGAAACTCACCTCAAGCTGATGAATCTCTCAAATAAAATCTCGGTCCGTTAGTCCGGAAAATTCCCGCGCTATCATCATCAAATAATATCCAGTTAATGATTGGATCTTAACCCAAAATCAAGAATCTAAATTACTTGTCCAACATCCAGGGTAAAAGACCATTTTACCCTTTTCTTACTTGGCCCAAAACTAAGGCCCAACCCGTTTACTCAAAAGGCCCAATTTATTTAATGACATCCGAAGGCTCATTATGGCCTAACTTCCTAATTGGGCCCAAAACTATCATGGACCTAATCCTAACAAATCCCTTAGTCTATCCATGACCCAAAGTCAGAAGTCCAATGGCCCAACAAGCCCCAAACCCTACAAGCCCAAAATATGGCCCAAACTCGAGGAAGTCAACCCAAAAGTCAAACAGATGAGTACGTTGGGCGTACTTAGACTTATGATTGGCGTACACCATCCGAGGCCCGTACGCTCAACGTAAGAGCTGGGTATGCCCCGCATACTCCACAGACAGCCAACCTAACTCATTAAGCACTTATTCTATTAAGCCAACATGCTAAACTCTCATATCTGATTCTAGAAGGTGACTTAACACATAAAGTTGGCAACTTTACACCCATGCATGACTTAATAAGGCCCAAAACTCAAAAAGAATCATAACAAAGAACCTAATTCTTGCATGGACCAAAATAAATCATAAAGGTTGCATTTTTATGGACAAGGGACCTCATTTGTGCTAAGATCTAACCCTCATGGCTTCTGGAGTAGACCATAACTCAACTTTAGCTCAAAAGACCCAAAAATGCATAAATAACACCCTAAGTTGGATCTAACATAAAGAATAATCAAGATTGGAGCTTTTTACCTCAAATGACTTGCCAAGATGAAGATGACTCTGGATCAACAAGCTCAAGCTATCCCAAGCAACCTCCAAGTGTTCTTCATCTTCTACTTCACCAAAAACACCACCAAAACTCACTTTCAAGCTCAAAACTCACAAATGATACTTAAGGTTTTGTTTTTAGGGTAGAGAGTGATGGAGGCTGATCAATAGAATGTCAAAAGGTCTTATAAGTTGCTTAAATAGGGTGCAACCCATAAAAATTAGGGTTTGCCCCTACCTTGTGTACGCTGTGCGTACTCCCACGTACGTCCAGTGTACGTGGGTGTATGCGCGATCCGAAAGCGGGTTAGTGTTGGGGTTTTGATACGAAATATAA